TCCTTCCTCCAACAGAAGGAATCTCCCAGGATTCAGTCTGATCTTACCCTGCCTTCTCTCTGGCAAGCTCACCATTTCACTGGCTACAAGTAGCCATCTGCTTGGAAGAATTTCTGACAGCTCTGAGTTCTGGCCTGGAATATTCAACTTCCTGCTAAACATTTTGGAGTGTCTAAGGAATACCTTAAACTATCGTAACTTTAATCAGTACCCCCATCCACTATTTCCAACAACCCTTGCCTCAGACTTCCATATTCTTTCAATAAAATTGGACTTCACTGGGCACCACCTTCCTCTTTCCTTCTCTCCCTAATCAATTCCACCAACCAGGTCTATACTGGCCCTGTCTCTTACCCACATTCTCTTTAGTTCTATCCTTTCTGCCCCTCTGGTCTGTTCTTTGCCAAACTGTGACACTTCCTCATCCACATCCATCATGCCACACTCATATTGATCCTACCATAGCATCAGCCCTAAAGCTGGGGTGACCGTAAACTTTGTTATTCAAACCAGGAGGCTTTTGAATTGTCCTTTTATTGATTTATTTTTTTGAGACAGGTCTTGCTATGTAGACTAGGCTGACCTTGAACTCTCCATCCTCCTGCCTCAGCTTTTGAGAATGAAAGAAGGCTCTGTAAAGTCATAACAATAATTTAAGATTAAAATATATAGTTACAATGAGACAAGAGGCTTAACCTGTAACTTCCCTGGGCTTTTGGTTACCCTTCCTAAAGCACATTCCATCACATCCCTGTTCTGCCTCAAAGACCTTCAGTGAATCCCACTGAATTAGGTTAGAACTTCTCATGCTGGCTCCAAGTCCTGCCTTTCCAGCCTCTCCTCTACTGCTCCTTCCCTGCACCCACTCTCCTAACAAACCAAACTATGCATTGCCCTTGACTGTGATGCATGCCTTCCTCTGCCTATATATTCATGATGGTTCTTCCCTCGGGAGCTCCTTGGCTCCAACTCTGCTCTTTAAACCCCATCCTTATTTCAAGACCCAACCACACTGTCCTCCATGAAGGCTCCCCTCATCCTTCTCTTGCACGTTGCATTTCCTTCTTAGTATGAATTACTTCTACACTTTTCTCCCTCCAAGTAACTGATCTGAGTGCACATGGTGCTCCACTCCTAGCCAGCTCTTTGGCTGGGCAGCTGCTTACGACGTGGCCTGGCATTAAAAGATGAGCTGGGACAGTCTGATTTCCTCTCCTGGGAATTTGAACTGTGAAATACTGAGAGACCAGAGCAGTTAGCAGAGGTGATGTAGAGTGAGACTCAGAGAGGCCGGCTGGTCAAATGCAAGTCACAGTTATGAGAAATTATGAGGAAACCCAGGAAGCTCTTGCTGCTGCACCAGGGTCAGCAGCAGTTATGAGCTGGGGCTCAGGAGGCCAACCTGAGGGAGAATCCTGAGTCTGCCACTTCCTGGCTTGCACGTGGGGCAGGTGACCTAACCTCCTTGAGTCTCGGTGTTCTCTTATGTAAAATGGGGATGATGACATTAGCTAGCCTCATCGTGAGAGAACTGAGATGAACAAGGACACCAGTGGGCCTGACTCAGAACTGGTATATGATTATTCCTTATCCTTAACAACAATTATTATTTATTTTGTTAGTAGTAATGAGGAAAGAGACACACGGAAAACAGAGGCTCCATGCCTTTGGGCCTTTCCATGAGAGAGAAGTTTCCAGGGCATCCTCTGTCTCTGAGTGCTTTTCAGGCCCAGTTCCAATGAAAAACTATGTGCTTTGATACAAACAGCTCTCCTTGCAATTATGGGAGAACACCTGTTTCTTGTAAAGGGAAAGAGCCCGCCCAGAGTGCTTGTCATCTTCTTAAGTCTGGATTTGTGCCCTTTACACTGTCTGCCTCAGTTTCCCACCTGGCCTTGAACACAGCTGCTACACATTACTCAGTAAATGAATGACTGACTGAATAAATGAATAGAGTCCAAATCTTTTCTAGGGAACCTTTGGAGAGGCTGCTTTTAGGAGGCCAGAAGTCCAGTGGTTAGGGAAGAGGGGCTCACTGTATGTTCCTCAACACAGGAAAAGAGGAAGGCAGAACTAGGGTAGCCCTGAGGGACTGATGGAGCAGTGTCCTCTCATGAGTTCTGGCCTTGCCTATGTGATTCTAGGCCTAGCCTATTCCTTTCTTCATTCTTTCTGGACCCAGGATAAAGGGTACAGTGACAGGAGAGCAACTGAGAGAAGAGACCCACTGGGTCCTGTTGCCAGGCTGTGGAAAGGAGACCAGGACTGTCCCCTCCTCTGTTCAGCCTCATCCCCTTTACTCCCCCTCCTGTGCTCCAAACCGCATCTTTTCAGACTCTTTCTTATCTTCACCATGCTTTCTGTGAATGCTGTTCCTTCTCCCTGAGGTGCCATTCTCTGCCTTCACCTCTGTGAAAACTCCTACCAGGGCCACCTCAGAGTCAACCTGCTGCTGGCATCTACCCCAGATCCCCCTGGCAAGGTTAAATGCTCTAGTTCTGTGCTTCCACAGGTCTTTCGCAGATTTGTGAGTTATCTCATCGCTCCAATCACCTGTATATTTGTCTGGCTTCCCCCCTACACTAGAAGGTATCAAGACAGGAATTATGTCTTATTGATGCTTAACAAAGGACTTGGCCCATAGTAGGCTTTCACTAAGTATTTGTTGACTGAATGTGAATGTAAGAATGTATTAACTCTGCTTTTTCCAGCTCTGGGATCACCGAGCCTGTTGTTTTCTCTTCTCTCACTTTCTTGGGCATTTCTTGAAGTCCTCCACGGTGGAGGACTACTTCTCCCCATGATACCAGAGCCCACACCTAGCCCACAGTGTCAAATAGTGCCTGGCCTCCAAAACGTAGAGGAGACACTGCAGAGGAGCTGGAACATCTCAAGTATAGAGATGGGGGGGGAGGGGGGTGCTGGGGCTGAGCAGGGACCCCAGTAGAATGAGGACTAAGAGGGACTTGTTAGGGACTTGACTATCCTCATTGGCCGTTTGGGGCTTGACAAGTGGGTTCAGGTTCTCCCTCCCAGACAGGCTTCTGATCAGGCTCCAGAAAGAGATGCCACTTGCCTGCCCTCCTACCTCCCGGGCCGTGGCTGAGCGGCTGGCGGAGGCAGCGCTGGGCCAGCCCGAGCAGACAGCCTTGTGCGATTGCTGGCTCCAGGCCTCCCAGCCCAGCTTGTAGCTCCCCCCAGAGTGGCGCGATTGATTGGCTGCAGCCGGAATGGGCACCAGTCTCCCTGGCTTGGACAGAAACGGGGCCATCTGTTACACCTCTAGTTAAAAGTACATAAAGTTGAGCATTTGTGCGCCGACAATACCACCCCTGACACCCTCCACGCGGCACAGCGCTCCGGCTCCTTGGCAGGCTCGTGTTCCGCGACAGGCCGGCACAGCGACGCCTACACGCTGCCTCGGCTGGCACCGCCACAGGCACCACAGCTCCACCCTCCAGCGGCCTGGCCCAGCTGGGTCCAGCTAGAATCTCAGATCCCACCTTAACCAGAGGGTGGAGGGAGGAGGGAGGCTTGTGGGTATGTATAGTAGTGGGCACTCCTTCCCCAGCTCAGGGTGCCTGGGCTGCAGACTTCCGACTATGATTTGGGGGACCCCACACAATTACTTGTGCTAGTCCTGGGGTGGGGAGGAGAGGGAATGACTCAGGTGAACCTGGGCTGGCTCTTGGCACTGGGCTTGGGTTTCCTGGTTAAGAGTCCATCTTGTTTTCTAGTAAGATCATACCCCATGAGTTTGGAGTTCCCACGGTGGCTTCTTACACCAACTGAGGAAACAGCTTTGGACAAAACTGGGTCCTGGATTTTGGCCTTGGATTCTGAATTCTAGATCCTGATTTCTGGATTTTATGATGTGAACTCTAATTTCTGGATTCCATTTTCTAGTCTCTAGCTTTATTCTACAAATGTCTTTTCCCAGTTATCCTTCAGCACTCTAATCAGGTCAGCATGCCTGTCCCCCCAAACTATTGTGAACGCTCCTGCCTCTGCTGCTTTGCTGGCCCCACACTCAGAACTCTCTATTTCTCCCCTCCCACCACTCAGTCCCATCCTTTGAGGATTAGCTCTAGACCAAGCTCTTCCAGGCAGACTTTGTGGCTCTAGCCCTTCCCCACCATGATCTCTCAGAAGCCTCATCCTCTTCTGAATAGCTTCTCATGAATTCTTCCCAATTTGAGCCCTGATGTATTTCTGACCAGACAGAATCTGGGCTGGCCCTTGTCTTACCCACATGCAAGCATACAGCTGGGTGTACAAGATAAGGGGAGACTAGTTGAACTCAGCTTATCTGTAGAGGAAGAACAATGACTACAAAAGTTAATATTGGCTCCCCAAGTGGCCACCCTGGTGGCTCTGATGATCATAACCTGGAAAGCAGATGGCCAGGTAGACAGACAGCTTTTAGACATTGACTCATAGTTTTGTTCAAAACACATACATTAAATACCTGTTATGCATCCAGTCCTGTGTTTGGCATGGAATTGGAGAGGCCATGATATAAAAAATGAGATTGACTCAGGTCCTGCCTTTGAAGAGCTTACCCATTGGTACAGGTCATGAAACAAGTCCATGGACCAACCAAATTACCCAATATGCTCTCATAGACTCTTAGAGCTGGAAAGGCCTCAAAGGTCAGAGACTGATATCTTGTAATCCTACATTACATGAGATAATGTAGGTACAGCTCTTACTTGACTTGAAGTAAGTGATAGCACAATGGGGAAGATGATGATAAACCTGAGTTATTATCCTTTCAGCAAGTTTTGGGGGTTTTTTTTTGGCAGTAATAGTATTTGAACTCAGGGCCTTGCACTTGCTAGGCAGGCACTCAACCACTTGAACCATGTCCCCATCCTTTTTTGCTTTAGTTATTTTGGGGATTGGGTTTCATGTTTATGCCTGAGCTGGCCTGAACCTTTATCCTCCTATTTATACCTCCCTCATAGCAGGGATGATAGATATGTACTACCATGTCCAGCTATTGGTTGAGATGGGGTTTCAGTAATTTTTTCCCTGGGCTGGTCTTGAACCTTAATCCTCCTGATTGCCATCTCCTAAGTAGCTGGGATTATAGGTATGAGTTACCATATCTGGACCCTTTTCAGCAAGTTCTAAGTTCTGCTTGCACACTCCATGTAGTGGCAGAAGCTCACTCCCACACAAGGTGGGTCCTTCCATTGTTTATAATTCTACCTTTCAGAAAACCACAAAGATGAGCTGAATTCATCCTCTCAGTCACCTCTCAGCAATTCATGGGTCATGATTCTATCTCCTGGGACCACACAACAGAGCTGGGATAAGGGTGGGTGATGAGATGTCTAAGGCACAAAACTTAAGGGGAGCAACACAGAGAGAAAGTGCCTCCTTAAGTTTGGGGTCCCAGGCACCTCACTTGTCTCATCTTAGTCCTAGCCCTATGATGAAATTAGTCTTGTATCCTCCTCTCCCAGCCAGCCCCAGGTGGGAGCTGTCAGATTCTTCAAGTATTTTCAGCCTCCAGTAAGCTCCCCCAGCAGCCCTTAGGATGTGGGTGATCTGGTTTAGCCTCTACCCCAATGATGGGTGACAAGGGCAGAGAGGACTGAGACTTGGGGGAGGGAATTAATCCTAACCATAGAGGCTCAATGCCCCCTTCAATCCTTTCCTGCCCAAATTCTGTTGGTCTGACCTGGCCACCGGTTCTCCCTGATGCATTGGCACAAGCAGCCTAAGTCAGACTAAATCTGGGCCCTAAAAGCACCAGCCAGTAATCTCTAAAGGGCAATGGGCCTGGATCTGGAAAATTATGAGATTGATTCTCCTTACCATGGACATCCCTAGGAGTGTGTGTGTGTGTAGAAGGCAGAATGTAAAGTTTACAGGCCATGAAAAACCCTGGAGGATGGATGTGGAGGTAGGGGAAGGGAGCAGGAGGGCTGGGGGGAGAGGGACACTGAGTTTGGCAGAAGGCATGAGCTGCTATACTACTTCCTGGATGGGACACCTCAAACAAGCTACCTGATTTTTCTGAGCCTCAATTTACTAGCTGTAAATGGAACTTAAGACTATTTTTCTGTTCACAAAAAAGACTATTTGAGAGCCAAGGGTGACAGATGAAAATCCTTTCTAGGTTTGGCAGTCTTCACTCACTGGGAGTGAGGCCCAGGTGGGCATTGGGAAACCTTTTGGTCTTCCCTCAAACTGGAGTTGCCCTGTTTGCTCCCCTGGGGTCTAGTTTAGTCTAAGTTGCCTGGAACCACTCCTGCAGCCCCCTGGTTTCTCTCTGGCCCTCATATATCCCCTCCACATAGATCCTCGAACTTTTCTTTCCTGTTATAAAATCCTGTTCACCCTCACAGTGCTGGGACTCAATTCACAGTGTTTTCAGACTCCCAAGAGGGAGGGAACGATGGACTTCTTCCCATTTTTCATAGGCACAAACCACGGCTCACAGAGAGTTAAGAATGTACGGGGCTTGATCTCGGCTGCTCTGAACCCCCCTGACAAGCTGGAGCCCGAGGGTTCACAGAGAGATGCCCTGGGATGGGCAAAGGGGCTGGGACAGGCCAGTGAGAAGAGCCACCCAGGGTGGGCAAGGTGCGCAAGCCGACCAGGGCTTGCGCTTCCCACGCTCCGCCAGCAGCAGGCGCTGTGACGGAGGCCCCCTCTGTACAGGAGCATTAACTTAAGAATGGCTCTCACTAATATCCCTGACTGTGTGGAAACAGCGTTTTATTAAATGCTTCACACAGATTTCGTATAATAAAGATGAATATATTATATCCTTTGCCTCCCCCAGAGTGAGACCATAATAAGAGAGGGGGAAAAACAATAAAGAGAAACATAAATACAACATAATGGGACTTGTGGGGAGGGACTTGTGGCCTGTAGGGGCTGCCACGGGGCGATCCCGCGGCTGGGGCCCAGGACGGGGTCGTCGGGGAGTTGGGCTCCAGCCCCTCCCTGCCAGCCCAGAGGTTCCCAGGCTCCAGCTTCCACTCTGCTCCCTTACAGCCACTTGGGTGGAGGGGTCCTCAAATGGAGCCCCTGGAGAGAAAGTGTGTGTGTGTGGGGGTGGGATAATTTGGGACAGCCACTGGCCCTGCGCCCCTTCTCTCTCTCAATCCAAGAATGCCCGGGACATAGGTCCTACAGGACCTCCAAACTCATGAGCAGATGGATCGACTCTAAGGACAAATCCAGGAGTGATCTTGGGCCCGACACCTCCCTGGGGGTTCTCCCATAACTTGCTACAAGTCCCTCCTTGAGTCTTACTTCCGTCTTTCTCTAAGCGCTGCCAAAATCATTTACTTGAAAATAAGAATTTCAAAGCTTTCCCGGGGTCGAAACAAAGGAACACTGGGAGATTCAAGCCCACTCTCTCTCTGCTTAGTTGGCCCATGTCCTGCCAGGACTCAATTCACCCGAGACTGCGTGGCTTAAACTGCAGAGAGGTTCCCAACGGGATCTGGGCTCCAATCTCCCTTGTGGAGTTGACCAAAGCAATCGACCTTAATCTCAGTTTCCTTTTCCTTTTGGCAAAATGGAGACGTGGCGAAGATTGAAGAGAAGGATTCAAATGCCTGGCACTCTGTCAGCTGTAAAAGATAAATAAGAACAAATAAGAAGCAGTTCCCAAAATTATTCCTTAAAGTAAATGGCCATTTCAGACCTAGAATTCTCTCCCCATTTCCTCCTTAGGCCCCAACTCCTAGCAAAAGCATAGTTTTCTGCTCACCCTCCCTAGCTCTCACGCTCTTTGCCACAGTTGAGGCTCAGAGAGGTTAAGAACACCCAAGATCACACAGCCAGCCAGCTGTGCTGCGGTCTGCTGAGGTCAAGTTGCCATCAGCCTACTTCACTTGTGTCTGAGAAGTACCTGGGCTGCCCTGCTGATTCTCCCAGAAGTCATTGGAGCTTGGCAGAGAACCCAACGCCAACAGCGCAAGGGTAAATCCAGGCTCTCCCCAGTCCAGGGCTGCCCCGGCGGTACCTCATGCAACGAAGAAAAATCACTACGAAAGGAGTAAGTCCGGCTGGCGGAGTGGCTCGAGTGGCAGAGTGCCTGCCTAGCTAGTGTGAGGCCTTGAGTTAAAACCCCAGTACCGGCCCCCCAAAATAAATACGTAGTGGTCCAGGGAAGAGGAAGAGGAGGAGGCAGCGACAGAGGAGGAAGATGGGGACAGAGGCGGGGGACGGCTGCCTTCCTAATGACAGGATACAAGGAAGACCAGGGTAGGGCCCAACTCCGCGCTTCTTGGGAGGATCTCGGCCAGAGACTCACCAAGTTGCAGAATTGCAGCTGCGTGGGAAAGGATCCGGCAGCGGAAGATCGGGTGGGGTTGACTAATGGAAGTGAAAGAAGTGGACAGGAACTGGAGGAATCGGTGAAACTGGAGGAATTGGAGGCGTTGGTGTATGTGAGATGAGATGTATATGATCCCTCGAGATCAGGAACCCCTAGGGCATGTAGGAAGCAGGAAGGGCCAAAGGGAGCTGGTTGCACTCAAACGAAATAAGGTTGCAGGCGTGAAGCATTTAACCTCTCTCCCAGGCCAAACAGCCTAACGTTTTTCAAAGTTCAACTCAAAATGTCACCCCCACTGGGAACGGAACCAGGACTTACGTGGCTCCCTCCCCGCATCAGGACCAGTGCCGCGGTACAGGTAGACACGTCTGACACGTCCGAAATTGGCCTGGGAGAGGCGGGAGCACAGGTCAGGAAACCTGGGTCCAGGGCAGGTGGAGGACCCTGCGCCTTCCCTAGTGCACGCCTCGTTTCGATCGCAAGGAAAATCCCGGCCAGAACGAAGCAGCGTCAAGACATCCCGCCTCCCAGCACAGGACCCACCCGGTCTTCACTTTGTTTAGTGCCACGCTGGCCAACGATCGCCCTGCGGTTGGGCACTTCGGGTGGCAGGCTTTCGACAGGTCAGATACCCCGCATCTCTCTTTTCCCTATTCTGGCCTCAGTCGTTCCTGTCATCTCTTGCCCAGGGTCTTGGGGCTTACGAGCGCCTCTGCTGGGACAGCACTGCCCAGGAGGCCTCTGACCTGGAGCCCGAGGCTCTCCACATCAGAAGGCAGGGGGTCTTCTACCCGCCTGCTTTTCTCATGCCCCTTAGTGGCCCCCTCCGCTAGGCGCTTGGCTGGGACTGGCGGGTAGGCAGGGCGGTTGAGGCGCTAATGCAATGAGCCTGTGCGCAGCTGCTGAATTATTCACGTGCAGTTTATTACCAGAAGCCTGACTCAGGCCTTTCCCGTGCCCGCCTAGGCAGGCGGCCCTGCTCCTCAGTCTCCTGGCCTCTCCACCTTCGGTCCCTCTGCCTTTCCACCTGGCCCAGCCCAGTCCCTGCTGCCTAGAGTCCTCCCAAAGGCAGGGAGGTGTCTGCAGAATGGAGGGCGCCCACACTATTGGCAGTTTTGCACCGAACCAGAGTTCCTGGGCAGCCTGGATTAGTAAGAGTGAAGGTCAGTTCTTGGAGCTCTTAGGCAACAAGGAGAAGGGAGCCCCCATTGCTTGTCCACTCACAGGTCTGGTTGCATCCTCTCTTAAACCCTTCCCTCAAGCCCTAAACAGCTCCTGTCCCCAGGCTGCAGACATGCTGGGAGTGCACAAGGGACTTGGTTTCATCCTGACCCCAGCAGCTCATCACCCAGGCGACAGAGGGACACCCTGACTCCTTCTGGCCTGGCATTTCTTACTTGGCTATTCTCCTGCCTTCAAAATGGTCCCTGCTTCTGCACTCACCCAAATGCTCTGGCTTTTCAAAGTTAAACTCAAATGCACCTCCACTAAGGAACAGAACCAAGATCCATGCACCCACACTCAGGCTCCTTTACCCTCTTCACAGATCCCCCTAGGCTATTAGGGTGGGATGGGTATCTGTTTTGCTATTCCTGCCTGCCCTTTACCACCACCATGTTTGCAGTTTCTTTCTGTCTGCTCTGGCCAACACATGATGAGGAATCAATTCTGTCCCCCCCTCCTTTTTTTTTTAATTTGGTGGTAGTACTGGGGTTTGAATTCAGGGCTTCGCGCTTTCAAGGCAGGCAACTCTATTGCTTGAGCCACTACTCCAGCATATCAATCCTGTTTTCAAAGGAGAAGGAGGAAGAGGAGGAGGAGGAGAGTGGAGACCTTCTCTCAAAAAAAAAAAAAAAGGCTGGGTCATGGCTTAGTGATAGAGTGCCTGCCTAGCAAGAGCAAGGTCCTGAGTCCAAACCCCATTACCACCAAAAACCAAACGAACAAAAAACCTAGCCAGGCACCCAGTGCCTCTTGCCTGTAATCCTAGATACCTGGGAGGCTGAGATCAGGAGGGCCTCAGTTTGAGGCCAGTCCAGGCAAGTAGTTCAAATGACCCCCATCTCCAAAATAACCACAGCAAAATGAACTGGAGGTGTGGCTGAAGCGGTGGAGCACCTACTTTGCAAGCATGAAGCCCTGAGTCCAAACTCCAGCCCCAACAAAAACAAAACAACAAAAACCTAATAAAACAAAAAAGTGAGACCCGAGCCCAGCAAATGCAAGCCCCTGAGTTCAAACCCCAGTACCACAATTAAAAAAAAAACAAAAACAAAAGAACAGCCATGCTCATACCTGCAATCCTAGCTCCTCAGGTGGCAGAAATTAGGAGGAATGCAGTTCGAAGTCAGCCTGGGCAAATAGTTCATGAGACCCTATCTCAAAAATACCTAACACAAAAAAAGGGCAGGTGGAGTGGCTCAAATGGTAGCATGCCTGCCTAGCAAGTGTGAAGTCCTGAGTTCAATTCCCAGTACTGCCAAGAAAAAAAAAGAACCCCTCCCCCTTTCTTTGGTGGTGCTGGGGTCTTGAGGCAGGTGTTCTACCACATAAGCCATGACCCTAGCCCTTTTGCTTTACATATTTTATAAATAGAGTCTTAGGTTTTTGCCCAGGTGTCCTGAATCGCCATCCTCCTTTTAACTATACAACTGGGAATCTATCCTGTGAAACTGGGATGACAGATACATACCACAGTGCCCAGCTTGTATTGGTTAAGATGGGATCTTGAAAACTTTTTTTTGCCTAGGCTGGTCTTGAACCAATCTCTGCCTCTGGGGTAGCTAGGATTACAGGTATGAGCCACTACACCCAGCTAGCAAAGCCCATTTCTAAGTCAGATCACAGCACCCCAACTGGATCCAGAACCCAGCTCCCATCCCAAAGCCAAAAAAGCATTAAAGAATGAGGTCTGTGTGTGCCTCTGTATGTGATGTGAGCAGCAGGGTGCCTCACACATACAGCTGGCAAAAACAATACACCTAGCCTGGTTTGGGCCTCTAGGCTTCTCTCTGAGGCACAGGCTAAATTCTCTTCCTGGCTCTCTCTCTTTGTCTTTTCTTTATCCACTTAACTTATTCATTCAACAAATGCTTGGGGAGTCCTTGATACATGCGACATAGGGGCATAGAGAGGAGACTGAGGTCCCATACTCCGCAAGTTCAAAACCAGATGGAGAGGCAAAAGGGCCAACAGACAAACCAGTGCATTCCTGACAATGTGACAGTGATTCCAAGGGGGATGTGCTGAGGACTTGGATAGGACAGGGAAGGTTTCCCCAAGGAGACAAGTCGTGCACTAAGTGCAGGGCAAGAGGCACCAGGAAGAGAAGGGAAGACCATTCTGCCTAGGATGAGGGGGGCAAAAAAGAGGCTGATCTGAAGGAGGCACCCAGACCTTGAGCACCTCCCAAGAACTCTTCCCAGCCCTGCCTGTCTCTGTCACTCCCTCCCCCTCTTCCAAAGGATAGTCAATCCCTTCTTCTGTGCAGGGCTCAAGTGCCTGAAAGAGGATGATCCACGTGGTAAGCCACCTTGACATTGTGTTTTGAAGTCTTTCAATTCAATAGAAGTAGGGAGAGGAGGAGCCAGGAGTAGGGCTCTTTCAAGAGTGGCCTGGCCTCAGACCCTGCTCCCACCTCTCCTGACACCAGCACAGGTCTGGAAAGCTGGGCCTGGCCGGTTCAGAAGCAGGTTCAGAAGGAGGTTTGGAGCCCAGCCTGAATTTTGGAGCTGCTGGCTCCTTGCTCCCCCAGACCTGGGAGGAGGCAGCTTCCCTCCCATTCCCCATTGGCCTGATTCTGGCCTTTGCCTTTTCTGAATCTCTAATCCTTTTGAGAATCCAATGTGTTAGGTAACACTAACTCCAGAAAAATGTACTGGAGTACATACAATATCCTGGGTTGGTAGAACAGAAGGCCATTTAAAGTGGAGGCCTCTGGTTAAGAACCTCCTAGTTCAGGGATTAAGGGTGCAGACTTGAGACAGAAAAAAAAAAGTGTTGCAATCTGAACTACTTCAGTACAAGCTGTGTGATTCTGGGTAGGTTACTGAACTTCTCTGTGCCCCATTTTTTTTAATGTGTAAAATAGAGATAATGGCAGCAGCTTCCTCAAAAGATTCTGAGTAACAAATAAAATGAATAATACAGCCTGGAGTCAGGCAAGGTAAGGACTTATGGTATTTATTGTCAAAGTTATTGTTGTTACTACAGACAGTGGCCCAGGGCAGAACGTAAAAACCAAATGGGCAGTCCTGGCTCAGCCAGAGTGGCAGGAGGCCATCTATCGCAATCCACTTCTATAGCAGAAGAAATATTTTCTGAATTCCATGTGGACTGTCACAGTAGCAGTCTCCATGGGACAAAAGCGATCCGGACTGCTGGTCAAGTTAACTCCTTTTAAGAGGTGTCAGATCCTTTCCTCTGAAGGAACTCTAGCTTGAGGACCAATGATGGTACTTACACAAAGAACCTAGAAACAAATGGGGCTGTCCAAACAATCTGGATTGAATCCGATGGAGCCTCTGGAGGGTTCAAGTGAATTATTCTGTGCGAAGGAATAACTCATTTTGTTTGGGTGTGCAGGGTCCTCATTATGGCAATTCATACAATGTTCTTTTCCTCCACTTTGTCTGGAATATTCTTAAAACTGGGGGGGAGGGCAAGTAGATTTTTGGTAGAATAGTCCCTCCTCCTTTCACTGGAGATGGAATGAGAATAGAACCTAGCCTTAACAGGCAGTGAAGCAGAATCCAGGAGTCAGGCTCTGAGGGCAGATATTCTCTCTCTGGAGAAGACTAGCGGAGCTGCCTCCAGCCCCAACTGAAAAAGACACTGGCCCAGCAGACTCAGGGTGGGAAGTGCCCAAGAGTCTCCCTCACCAGGTGTGGTAGTCCCAGCAGAGGGCTGGGCAGAAAATCTAGATGGCTGGTTTCCTTCCAACTTACCTCTATCTTCCTTCAGGCTTCCTCCTCTTTCTCTCAAGATCCCTAAACTCCTCTGAGGGGGCAGAGTCTGGGCCTGAGCCATCTTGCTCTATATTACATAATCATTTATACCCTATTTGCTCAATGGAAACTCGTTCAACCAATATTTGGTAGGTAAGAGCTGGGTGTCCCCCCAGGGCCTGGATAGATCTGGGCTGCAAGGAATCCCTAGGTCCAGGTTCCTGCCTGCGAGGATCTCAAAGTCTTGTGGGAGGAAGAAGGAGTCCAACCAAAAATCCAAAATATAGCTTATTGCTCTAAAGGAGTGGTACGGGAGGCCAGTAGATGTGGGCTTTTAGGAATCCAGAAGATCCTACAGCTACACATAGTTTTTTGGGGGTGGGGATGGGGTAGGGCCATAGGGTGGGAAAAGGTTGTTGGGACAGTTGGGCTGGTTTCTGAAGATGGCCTGGACCAGCTGATTCCAGCAAAGGCAACTGAAACAACAAAACACCAGGGGCACCATGCGCTCCTAAACATGCTGTGCTCCTGAGTGTAGAGAAGAGGTCAGCTAAAGAAGCCAAAGCAGCAAAGGGATGGGTACAGGCAAGGCATGGAAGGGGAGATGGGTAGACATAATACCATACCATAAATGATCATGGAATGTTGTCCCCCTCTTTGACATTGGGTGACCAAAAACTAAAGTTTCCAGGGAACAGCACCCTTTTGCTCCCCAATTCACATGCCACCCCTTCCTGGTAGCCTCCCTGTAACCCTAAACTACACTGGCCTTCAGGGGCTAGGAGGTGAACAACAGCAGAAGCTGGGCATGCACTTAAGGTCCAGTCCTGCAGGCTAGTGATAGGTGCTGAGAATGAGGAGGACAGGAAAGGGGGGTATATTGGAGGAAGCCTCTCTCTCTCTCTCTCTCTCTCTCCTCCCTCCCTCCCTCCCTCCATCCATCCATCCCTCTGTCCCTCTCTCTATCCCTCTGTCCCTCCTTCTCAGGACCCATTTCGCTTACCTATAGAAGCCTCCTGGCTAGCATGGGGGGACAGGTGCCTGGCCTTGAGCTCGTGTGGGGAGCTTGGGGTTATGGTAGGAGAAGGCTGAAGCAGGATCCTGATGGCAGGAAGTAACAGGAGAGAACAGACCCATCCTTCCCTGACTACCAAGCCTTCCCTGGCACCCTCTCCTCTCCACCAGTCCCAGCATCCCCTCATGGCTTCCAGAGCAGCCAGGATGCATCTGAAACAGGGATGCCACCTGCCCTAGGGATAGATCTGCAGTTCTGAGGGAACTGAGATCCCCTGAGCACCTGTCCCCACCCCCAACACCACCCAAAAAAAATTCAGGGCAAAGAGTATCCTACTCTCTTCCAACATTCCCAAGCAGGACTGGGTCAGCACTGGGGCCCACACACAAGAATCCTTTCTTCTTTCTTCTTATCGGTCTCTTTTACTCCTGAGAGCTGCAAGCCATGATTCTAAACACAACTAAATGTGAGATAAAGAAACCTATCTCTGATATGCAGAGACCCCTCTGCTGGAGGCATGGAGAGGAGACAGAATTTGCTCCCTGCCCCATAACCCAACTGAGTTCACTCCCTCTCCGGGGCAGGTATGGGGTGGGATGGGGTAGGGGGAGGCAAGAAGTCCCATTCATCACATTCCAACCTCTACCCTGGGTTACAAGTCCTCCAACTGGCCTCTTTGGTCCAGACTGAGAGGCCAGACTACACTGTCACCCAGGAGTTTACAAACAAAGCCGTGAGGTCTGTGTCTGCCGAAGGTTGAAAGAGCTCTTCTTCCCCTGACTCTAGCCCTCTCCGTTCTCCAGGGGCAGAAATGGAAAATTAGGGCCTCCACCCAAACCAGATAGGGTATGGAGAAAGAAGGTACAGTCCCGCTGACGTGCCTCAGGTAAACGGAAGACATTGCTGAGGTTCAAACCTGCCTTTATGCCCAGAGGTTCACATACGTTTTCATAAATCCCACATGAGAACCGCACACAAATACACATATTCAAAAACATAAACCTCTCCAAATAACGATGCACACAAAATGCTCGCCTTATATTCACAGATTCCAGGCCACGGGGTCCTCAGTCGCCAGCTTCACTGGAACTCGGGCCTCCCTGCGAGTTTCTGAGAGCTCAGCCCCAGCGGTGGCCAGGCCCCATCTCGGCCCCCACCCCGCATCCGGAACAGCTGGAGTCGGCCGGCCGGTACACTTTAGCCCGGCGCTGGGTTGGGCGGGGCCGGCAACCCGGCTTCGTCCCTCGCCCCAGCGGAGCGCAGCGGGAAAGCCCAAGTCGGCCCCGGTAGTCCCGGCACCCGGTCGGGTAGCTTTCGGACGCCAGTCATCAGATGAGCGGTGGCCCTATCGGGCCCCGAGAGCCGTGACCCGAGGAGAGAGTGTGCAAGATTGCGGAAGAAGGTAGGACGGTCGCTTCGTGCTCAGGCCAAGGGAGAAGCGCGCAGAGCCACCAACTAGTCCTCGCTCTCAGCGTAGGGCAAACTGAAGCCATCCGACTGCCCACCTCCCCCATCCGCTGGGATCCTCACCCGGGGCCCCAAGTCTCCCACCCAGGGCTGTGAAGCTGGCTCTGATCTCCCGCGGGCCAGCCCGGGGGAACTTCAGATTCCCCTTTCGCAGGAGCATGGCTCAAGGCTGGGGCGAGGGGCAAGAAGGTCCGGGAACAGGGGTGCTGGGTTCTTGATTTCGACTGAGCGAAGAAGTCCATGCTGGGCAGCAGTGGGGCCCACCCCGGCTCCTGTTCTTACCTGGCCCGCGCGGCGACCAAGTCCCTACCCGGTTGGAGTTCCTGCCACCCTTCTCGGGCTCCAAATCCCGGGTTGGAGATCCTGAGACCTCCGGGCTGGCGATCCTGAGACCTCCGGGCTGGCGCTGGCATCCCAGCCAGGCCGGCGGGAGGCGGGTGCGCAGGGAGCGCGGCTCTCAGTTTGGGGTGGGGGCGGTGGCTTTTCAGTCGCCCGAGGTTCGGGTGCAATAAAGGAGCAGCTAATGTAATTTACAAACAGCTCGGGCCGAGTGCGGCGCGGAGCCCGGACTGACAGGCGCATTAGGCAGGCTAATTCCAGCCGGCTCCTCCTACCCCCGGCCCGCTAATTAATGAGCTTCCCAACTTAGAGCCGCTTGCATTGGACAGACAGAGAGTGAAAGAGAGAGCGAGGGAGAGGTAGAGAAGGAGAGAGACGGGGGGAGCTGAGAGGAGAGAAGAGAGGGAGGGAGGGAAAGAAAGAGGATAGGGGGAGCGAGAACAGAGAGAAAGAAGAGAGAGCAGGGAGAAAGGAGAAAGAGAGAAGTGAGGCTGCAGATAATTGATTACTCCTCGATCAAGGCTAACTTGTTAGCAATAGTCAATTGCCCCGTCTCTCTACCTCCCCTCGCAGTCCGGGATCGGCGCCCTCGCCTCGGCTCTTCCAACTGCCGCCGCCAGGACCCGGGGCCAGGAGCCGCCGCGGAGCCACCTGACACCTTTAAATAGCACCGGGGCTGGCGAAACTGGAGCCCAGCACAGCGCGCCCCGACTCCGGCCCCGGACTGCTGGAAGCCCCGGCGGCGGCGCCCGCGTCAGCGCTCTCCTCCCGGGGCCCCGCGCGGCTCTGCCTGGCTCAGCAACCGCGCTAATCAGCCCCGTGCCCACCCGCGCCCTGCCGGACGCGGCCTCCTTCCCTCCCCTCGTCGCTCTCCCGCACCCTCCCGCGTCCGAACTGCCCGCGGGCTGGGTCCCCGTGGCCCGAGCCTCCCCGGCCGGGCCCCCAAACGAGGCCCAGATGACTTCCAAGGAGGACGGCAAGGCGGCGCCGGGGGAGGAGCGGCGGCGCAGCCCGCTGGACCACCTGCCGCCGCCCGCCAACTCCAACAAGCCGCTGACGCCATTCAGCATTGAGGACATCCTCAACAAGCCGTCTGTACGGAGAAGTTACTCGCTGTGCGGGGCGGCGCACCTGCTGGCCGCCGCGGACAAGCACGCGCCGGGCGGCTTGCCCCTGGCTGGCCGCGCTCTGCTCTCGCAGACCTCGCCGCTATGCGCGCTGGAGGAGCTCGCCAGCAAGACCTTTAAGGGGCTGGAGGTCAGCGTCCTGCAGGCAGCCGAAGGTAGGCACCGCCGCTAGGTTCCCCTGCCCCAGTGCCTCGCGCTCAGTGCCCTGCTCAGTGCAGTTAGTGTCCTAAGCCTGTACCCGCCCCTGCTCACGTCGGCTGTCAGGGCCCTCCAGCCTGAGCCGCTGGAGTGGAGTTAGGCGGGACAGGACCCAGTCCTTGCTATCTAGGGACCTGTGGGTAGGCCAGAGTCGGGATGATCTGAGGTTTGTGGGAACCCAAGCTCTTTCCGCAGTTTGCGTGCTCTGCCAGGCTCAGTCTGGTTCCCAGCGGCCTGGGTGCTCCCAGGCTTACTCCTGGTGTGTGGGGAATCTTTTGCTGGGACCTTCCAGGTAGGATAGAGTCTGGCATTTGGAAAGGGATGGAGAACCAACAGTTCGCACCACAATCGGGGATTCACTGACTTGGCTTTCTCCTGTTCTCAGAGACTTTGGATCTTTCAAACCAACTCTTAGATACCTAGGGGCAGAGACCAAAACAAATTTTCCTTCGGATTTCCAGGAGACCAGAAAAAGGAGATTTGCAGTTGCCCAGATTTCCTCTGGTCTGGGAGGCGAAATCAAATTGGAAAGGCAACAGCTGTAGACTGAAGGCGATTTGGGCCTGGGTGGGGTGGGGAGTTACCGGCCAGAACCAGGGTGGGGTTTGCTCTCTCCTGATGCGAACCTACACTGTCATTTTCATTCCAGGCCGTGATGGGATGACCATCTTTGGGCAGCGGCAGACACCCAAGAAACGGCGAAAGTCGCGCACAGCCTTCACTAACCACCAGATCTACGAGTTGGAAAAGCGCTTCCTATACCAGAAGTACCTGTCCCCGGCAGATCGTGACCAAATCGCGCAGCAGCTGGGCCTCACCAACGCACAGGTCATCACTTGGTTCCAGAATCGTCGTGCCAAGCTCAAACGGGACCTGGAGGAGATGAAGGCCGACGTGGAGTCCGCCAAGAAACTGGGCCCCAGCGGGCAGATGGACATCGTGGCACTGGCGGAACTCGAGCAGAACTCGGAGGCCGCAGGCGGCGGTGGCGGCGGCTGTGGCAGGGCCAAGTCGAGGCCCGGTTCTCCGACGCTCCCCCCAGGCGCACCGCAGGCCCCGGGCGCCGGGCCCTTGCAGCTCTCTCCCGCTTCTCCTCTCACGGACCAGCGGGCCAGCAGCCAGGACTGCTCGGAGGATGAGGAAGACGAAGAGATCGACGTGGACGATTGAGCGGCTCTCAGAATCTTGCGCCGGCCCGGTGCCCCTAGCGCCCGCACGCTCGTCGCCTCCTGGATCTCGGACCCGACCGCTGAGGGGAGCTGGGACCTCCTCTGCAACTCCCGCCTCCTCCCACGTCCCCGGGCGCGGACTCGGCCCCATGGCAGCCTCCTCTTCCCTCTCGAAGCAATAAACCCGGTCTGGCCGGCCGAGCCGGCCGCCATACGCGGCCTCCGCCGCCTGGGAGCCCTGGCCGTGCAATTCTGTATGGCTTCTGTATATTTAGACCTGCATAGCAGGTCCATCCCATTGCAGCCTGATCTTTTTCGTTCTTTAAAAAATATAAATCTCAGAGATTTCGATGATTTCAAGGCTCCCGGGCTGCCGGGTTGGCCCGGGGTGAGGCAGAATCGAGACCCGCGAACACTAACCTCGCGGTTAGAAAAGGGGGCAGCTTGGCTGTTTTGATTTTTCTCTGCATGTGGCGAATGTACCGGCCCGCTCCCTCCTCATCTCGCTAGGCCCATCACAGTTGACTTCTTTTATTTCCTTATGCCTTTTTTTTTCCCTGCGTGGGAAGGGAGTGAGGGGAACAGCCGGGTCCTGACTTGCAAGTTTCAAAATCGATCTTTCCTTCCCCCAGCGAGAGAAGTCTGTTTTCGATGCCATTTCTGCCTCCCAATGCCCACTAACATTATTTTTAAGATTCCTCCATCCCTTCCGCCTTTTCTCAGACTGACTGCTGGAGTCCGGCTCTTAGGGACAAAGCAGGGGGACATCCAACCAACCAACCATCGAAAACAGAACCCAAAGCCCTAGAATTATTTTTTACTCTTTTTAGAATTTTTTTGCATGTGACAGAGACAGAGAGGAGGCCGACCCAATCCCTCACCCCCACCTCCCTTTGCAATTCTGGGTCTGTCTTGCCATCTTCAACGCCCTGCTCCTAGCTCAACCTGGCTAGACAAAGGTGGCCCGTTGAAGGTGGGTCTTGTATGTCCCTTCCCTGCTCCTGCCTTGCCCTCTCCTCCCCGGACTGTACCCGAGGCCTCTTTCTCCGATAAATAAAGTCTTTGCCATTTTATTACAACCGGTGAACAACGTGTCTGAGTGAGTGGGCTCAATTCATGGAAGCAGAGGTAGGCTGAGCTTCTCCTCAAACCGGTCACCCCAGCCTTGGAGATTTGGGGGGAATTTCAGGGCAGGCATGAGAAGGAGGTGCAAAAGAGAAGCAATGGGAGGAGGTGCTTCTTGTCCCTAATCACCCAGCAGCTATTAAATGGCGGGGAGAAGCAGGCTTCGCCAGGTCCGGGTAAAACTCAAGGTTTGCAATACTGGCAGAAAACGCGTGTGTACGTGGGGGGCGTCATGGCACAAAATTAATTCCTGTGGGCAAAGGGTGAAGAGGAAATTTGTCCTGCGTTTCTGTGCCCCACTCCTGACTCTGCATTCTACCTGTGTTCCCACATACACAGGTTAAGCCCGGGGTGCACAGGCAGGTGTCACTCAGTGGGACATCAGGGTGGAGCTTGGGGGCTTCCAAGTTTTGGTCGCATCCTGACAGCCTCATCCTTGGTGGAGGTGGGCGGGGCGGGGGGGCAGTGAAAGAAGAACGAAGATGAAGGCAACAAGAGCAGGCTGAATTGCACACATGGGCACTGAGTGTGTGAACCCAAAGAGCTTGGAATTTAGGGTGAATTTCTAGTAACATTCACAAATTCTGGGCCACAGACAGAGAAATGGATCTCTCAGGAATTCTGGATTTTTGCAGCGTTGGGAGAGTGACTGGACGGGGGTGGGGACTCAGGCCGCTTTCACTTTCCAGGACAGAGAGGGTTTCTCTCCGAGCTTTTGTTGTCGTTGAGCTGGCGAGTGGCCGCTGTCACCAGAGTAGGGTCCCGCCTCCGGGCCGCTCGGCTCTCTTTCTCCTCAAAATTGATGTGAGAAGTGCGCATCTGGTCTCAGGCAGGCGATGGGGCCCCCGGGCCTAAGTCAGGAACGTGCGTGTCCGAGAGAAAACTAAGAGACAGCCAGAAACAGAAAAAACACGGTAGCACAGAAAAACAGTCCAGAGCCGAGCCTGTGAGAGCCACAAAGACACAGGGAGGAGAGAGGGGGAAAGGACAATTTATAAACACCAAAAGAGAAAAGAGATAGGGAGACAGAGACAGAGGGGAGCAAAAGAGAATAGAAAGAGAGATTAGAGAGAGAAGAGGACTGGAGAAGGAAGGAGGCTGCGGGGCAGCCGCGCGGGTGTGCGGCCGGTTCCTCCCGGGCGACATAAATCGCCCTCTCTCAGGATGGATGGGTCTGTAATTCGGAGCGCGGACCATGAAGGCCGGGACGAATGGGCCCGGGCGGCCGCTGACAGGCGACAATAGCCGGGCCCAGCCCCCCGCGGCTCCCGGTGCGGGCACGGCCGTGGCCCTCCGCAGCCCAGAGCGCGCCGGCGCTGGCGACCATATGGTTTTTGAATTTTCTTCACAATTTGTAGACAATTTGATGGATTAGGTCCCCGCGCGCGCCTCCCCGGCACAAAGGCGGCGCAGGGACCGCGGCGCGGCGGTCACCCGGGCATCTGCGCCCGCCGTGCGCACCCCCCCCCCGCCCGGCCCCCGCCCCGCGCCCGGAGCCCCGGGCCGCCCGCCCAACACGCCCATGAATCCCAATGAAGCGGCCCTGGCACCTCCGGCCGCTCCCGGCTTCGCGGCCCTGGGCTGGGCCCTGCTGGGTCCCTTCGGGCTGGGGGCGGCGGCCTCGGGGCTGAGCCCACCCGAGCTGCGGCGCCCGCGGGGCGCGCAGCTAAGCAGGCGCATCGGGGCTGAGGAGAAACGGGGCCATTTATCCGCCCGTCTAGTTAAAGCGGGTTATTTGTTTGCTTCTCTGGCCTCCCCCTCCCCTCCCCTCCCCCTTTCCTCCTCCCCCTCCCTTCCCCTTCTGCCTTTTATTCTTTTGTCTCTAAATGGATTTAATGAGCCTGAAAAACATGACAATTGAATATAACCAAGAAATAAAAAATAACGAGGGAGGAAGGAAGGAGGAAAGAAAGAGGAAAAAATGAAAGAAAAAGATTAATGAAATAAACAGAGAAATCAATTCAATTCAGCAAATATTTATTATGCGCAGGTAGCTAGGGAAATTGAAACGAACCAAATCAAGTTCCTGCCCTCAAGGAGCTCCCAGTCTAGTGGGCAGGCCCGGAAGCACCCTGGTCTCTACTAGGAGACCATGGCTTCGGGGCAGAGCAGAGCTAAAGGAAAAATTCGGAGCGACTGCTTGGGGTCCCAGGGTGGCGATGGCTTCATGGAGGAGGTGGCATGGGACCTCGCTTGGCCTTGAAAGACAGAAGTGATCCGTTGTTTCTATAGGCTAGAAAGAAGGACAAGTGGAAGAAGGACCTGGCCGTGGTGGACGGAAGGTGTACAAAAGGATCTTATTTAGGCTGAGCCCCAGCGGGGGAAGACGCTGGGTCCCCGCACAATTTTGGGAGTGGACCCGAGCCACAGTCACCTCTACTCTGCTTATTTCGATGCCTCGACAGGATGCCCTTGGGCTTCAGGACCCCCACCGACCCCTTGAGGTGATTGAGGCCCAAGAAGTGCAGTTTGGGGCTCACCTCCAGGCTCTATTAAGCAAGGGGCAGTAGGAAGTGGGCAACTGAGAGTTAGAGCTGAGAGGCTTGGCCATAGGCGGAAGCGAGGGGCTAGGATCCAGGGAGGCCTGAGTTCTAGCCCATCTCTCCTTAGCTCTACGAGCTCTGATGACGGCTGATACCCGCTCGCGGTCAAGGTTTGCCCAATGCCCTTGGGCCTCTGGTGCTGCCGCTGGGACTCGTGATGCGAGAAGGGCATGGAACTCAAAGTTAGGGCCTTGGTCTTAGCGGGTGCCTGCTAGGCCTTGTCTTGGCTGTGTGTAGTGTGTGTGCCCATGAGTGGGTTCCGTGGAAGCGGGGCATATGCACTGGTGTCTCTTCTTTGCATCTGAGTGTAAATTTGAATGTGGCATGAATTGAGTGAGGGGCTGTAGGCCCCACGCCCACTCTTTGGGCGAAGTTCGTTAAACTCGTCCCTTTAGCCAGAGTTCCATCACTGCCCAGGGCCATTGTTGATAAGTTTCCCCAGGAATCTGGCTTCTCTACGGACCCACTTTCGGTTCCCGGCCGCCCAGGGGAGACGGCTAGGCTTTGTTCTCACCCTTACCTATTGGGTCCCGGGGCTTCGGCGCAGCTTGCCAAGTCCCAGGACACAACTGGTCTCTGCTCTCAGAGCTGGTCACTACTCTGCGCGGACAGGCCGAGCAGTGCGGCTGGGGCCGGCTGCCTCGGCTTTCTCCGCTCCGCCTTCCCGGCTCGGCGGCCTGGCGGGCGGCGCCGGGTGAGGCCAGGAGGCGCAGTTCCTTATTTTACGAGGTGTCGGGCTGGTGTCAGACGCAGCTCCGATAAGTAATACTCCAGTCTGAGGGACCAGAACGTGGTAATTAATCCCAAAGACTTAAGTGTATTTTAGTTCAGGAGAAAAAAAATCACTAATTCAATCGTCCGGAAAATTGAAGTTTGATGCATGAGTCCCCCCTGAAAGGGACGGGCTGGGGCCGCATGCCTCCCCTCCGCCCCTGCCCGACGCCGCGGGGACCCCCTCCTCCCCACCCTTCTGAGCCGCCGGGTCCAGGAAAGTCCACTCACTCCGTCCTGCCACTTCCCAGTTATGGGAACCCAGGCGTGCCTAGGCTTCGCTCCCCATCCCCAACAAACAGCCCCCTTTTCTTGGTGCGCAGGAAGTAGTCTGTGCCTACAATATGCATGCTCCCCAAACACTGGCACCTAGGAGAGGATATAAAGGAATCTTGGAGATGTAAGGGGAGCAGTCAGATAAGGGGTCAGGGTGGGACTGCAAGGCATGTGGGAAGAGGAACAGGGAACCTGAGGGAGCTGAGGTGAGGAGGGTTACTGGGGGAAAATGAAGAAGCATGTGTGGCTCCAGGTGTGTGTGGTGAGTGAGCTGGGTGAGCTAGGTGCTGGTGACTGGGCTAGCTGTAAAGGTGAGGGATCCTATGGGAAATGGGTGCATCTCAAGACTGATGGTGAGCAGGTAGGGAGGGCTGGGGCAAACATTGGCAGGCCTAAGAGCCTGGATTCTGGGCATATCCACAGGCTCAGTTTCCCAAAAGACAGGTTCTTGGGACCAGAGTAAAGGAACTGAGGGTTCCTGGGCTTTATTGCCTGTGGGCACGGAAAGGTAAAACCCTGGAAGAAGAATTCCCACCTTCAGTTTCCAGTAGGGGTATCACCTCTGCCCTCCCAGGCTCCCAGCTGCCATCAGTAACTCACTCTTTCTCTTCCCCACAGTTGCCAGGCCTGGGAGAGGCATGGAGCTGAGGGTATGTTTGTGAGCTTAGTGGGGACCAACAAGGGTGCATTTCTTGAGTGTGTGCAACTGAGAGATTGAGCATGTGCAGCTATTGATGGAAACAGAGCACTGCAACTGGGGGCGACTAGGTGTATGCTGCTGTATTCTGTGTAGCCGATTGTCTCAAACTAATGTGTGCAACTAGGTGTGACTAAATTTGTGCAATGGAGAGGAAAAGAATCGGGCTGTCACTGGGGTAGATGTGACCGGTGGGTGAGCAATGCTGAGGTGTGTGCTGTGTTCAGGGAGCTGGTGTGGGCAGATAACTGGGAGAGTGAACATTGATGTGGAACTGAAGCTACAAACAACAGGAATCTTAGCTCCAAACGGCTTGACCAAGCTGGCTACTCAAATTTACTCGTGCCACCTGGGGAGCAGGGACAAAAGGCACCTGACTTGAAGAGAAGGTGGTTTACAAGAGGAGTGAGTGGTGAGACAGAGAACTTTGGACAGGGGTGTGAGTCTACTTTGGGGGCAGCAAACTATGAAGGTGTGGGCTCTTCTTCTTAAGGAATGGGTTGGGGAGGAGCTGGTATCCTCTGCTGTCCCCTGGCTGCCCTGCTGCCCCTTTCATTCAAGTTGTTCACGAGGCTGACCTCATATCTCTGGAGCGATCAGTGGCTCAATTCTTGAAAACACCAGTCTTAGGTGGCCTAGCTTCCCCCACCTCACTCAAGGGAAGT